TATATACTTACTTTAAAATTTTAACGAACGGATGCAAAATTACATATTAAGCTGGAAATGCATAAAACTGTTCACCCCCAATACCAGCCCGAGGGATCATCGGACCGTTTTAAATGTGGACCGATAAGTAACCAGCAAACTTTTCCTTTCTTTGGAGAAGGACCGCGATCGGTTACTGTTACCTGCAAAAAGAGAAGTCGTAGGAAAAAATATAAATAATACGTTTTAAAAAAACTTGACAGAACGTTCTGATATTAAAGTCTATTTTATGACGGTCATTTTAGCAAAACGGAAATAGCTGAATAACCTCACATAGGTCTTAATTTATTGCGATGTTACACCGAATCAGTTAAAATCCGTGCACGAGAGGTGAATATTGCATTCCAAAAACTCCACCGGGCACCTCACAGGTTAATGTAAGAATCCAGGAATAAGTAGAGTAAGTAATGACCTAATTGTCGTTGTGTTATAATGGAACAGTTAATGACCTGTTTTCCTGTGAATATGAGCATTTATAAACCTCGTAACTGATAACACGTCAATAACTATACCATAAAATAATACAAATGAAGCTAAGAATGGCTTAATCCGTGAGTACAATATATCCAAATCAGGCATTTCAAGTTTCCAAAGCCACAGTCGAACATACGTATAACTCCATATAGGGATGTCTTACATGTATATAAATATTTTTTTATTTTATTTTTGTTGATGAAATAATATGACATGCTACCTCAGAAAAGTGCACGAGGATGTTAACGTAGACATAAAAACTAACGGCTTTTCCCAACAGCACATACATCCTTTTATTGTATTTCCTAACTACCTATACGCAGATACTACAGTGGCATACCTATCTCCATACAGACAGGTATCTGATACAGTTAAGAAATTTTTACATTTCGTGATAAAAAGAAGAGAACATAATGAGGGATGACCATCTCATTTCTATCTTAAGATTAAATTTTGTATATTTTTCGTTTTGTTGCCGTAAAATGAGACATATTTCCAAGGAACCCAGTTCTGATTTAGACAATTACTTTTTCGTGGACACATCATTTCGCAGATAGTTTAATAAATCTACTTTATTTAATTTTAATATTTTTTGAACCTGCGTAGCCGTAACACGAGAAAGGAATTTATATAATAACGATATTTCTCTGTAGTAAATATAACAATTTAAAGCAGAAATGATTTGAAAATATGAAATAATTCAATGTTGTTGTACTCGATCTATTAACAGAGATAGATATTAACAAGGCAAGGAAAAAGACGAAATACATACCTTTTACTTCCGCGTTTTCAAAATAAAAAATTAATATGCTCGTGGTCATGTAAGGTTTTCATCTCCAAACTACCTCAAAAACCAACAAAGTTGAACTTGCCTTTAACCCAGACGTCTTGGGTTCGATCCTTCCGACGAACTTAAAAAAATATTAAGTTATTTGTCCGATAATGTTGGTTTTCTCAAGATAGCTTAGTCGCTTAGAGCAATGACCTACATAACATAATATGAAGACTAGATATGTAGTTCGATGTTCCCAACACCTATCGGTCTGTGTTTCTCAGGAAGCCAGGCAACCAACCGATCTGTGCTGACATGTTTGTGTCGGCAAAACGTTTTACACTGATTGCATCGGATTGCCATAGACGGTTCTTCCGTATGGTGTTCAATGACGTAGTCGCCTGCTACTACAAGGAGACCCAGCCTCAAAATGAACGTTAACCCCAATAAACAAACATATTTCTACAGTTTGCATTAATGCCCTCCATTTGTCAACTTATGATATTTTTGATACGTTTAGTTGCACTCCTGAACTATTCTCTGCAGAAGTGAAAAATATAAGTTTTAAAACATATGAATGGTTAAAAATACATTTTACGTATTTCTAACTATAGATGTTATATAAGGAAAACGTTACGTTTCTGTAAACTTTTGTAAGCATCACATTTATGTTTGTTTAACAGACCATACTAAAAACATAAAAAAGAGCATCCCTGCTGAAGGCCTTCAGCTCCATCAAATGATCCCTTCATAATGAAGGTTACGATTGGTTTAAAGTGTTTGGTTTTCATTTTGAACGACGCAAACTGGGACTGAACCACTTCGTTCTCGCGTTTCCAAATTACATGTTTTTTTCAAGTTATTTACTTCGGGTTTTAAGACGTTGATTTCTTGTTTAATTTCAGTGCGTTTTCATTCCGAAGTCATCATACGTTCGTTATGTTTTGTTTTCTTTACCCATTGTTATGTCAGCATCACCAAATGTCAACATAGTTTTGTTATTCACTGTCGACGATCCACAAAAACAAGTTATAAAAACCAACCAAAATAAGATAGTGGTTTAGTAGGCTACAGGTTTTCACTAGATACCCTTATCAACCTACCAATGTAAATCCTTATTCTCACTTCGTTACACATTCACACGGAGAATTATTAAAATTGGAATATGCATTTTAATCAGTAGAGCTTATCTCCACAGGGAACGGGACGATCTATACATTTACATACAATTTGTATTGATAATGAATTAAAATTAAAAATTTATAAGGAAGTCTAACAATTTGAAATGAAACCTGCCTTATATTCAAGTGTTCAGCGCAATAAGAATGATACCAGGTCCTATCAAAGAAGACGAGCGTCATGTGAAATCATTGGGTAGGTTTAATTAACGTAATAAACCTGTGTCCGGGTGATCGATCTTAACACATAAATGAAATTGATTTAATAGCAAGGGGCGTTTTCCGAATCCCATTGTCTATTAATTTTGAATTGGAATAAAATTGTGAGGGACGATTTTCGCTATACCGTGAAATCAACCACGTGAGGTTTTTTTTTTTCAAAAACAAATAGTAAATACCAACATGTCTACATAAGTATAGAGTAAACTCAATAATCATAAACAGAAAGATATACACAGATTAGATGTTCCAGAAGAGTTAGCGTTTTTGCAGCATTAATAATGATACCATAGTATCTATACAGTTAACACATTGTGTCTGGCTACATAGATACCGGGACTGTTTTGTTATTAAGTAAATATTCCCATGCTACATATCTGGTATATGAACTCGTGTTCCATTACCTTTTGTGAGTAGCTGATATGGCTAATGTAATGACGTCAAACTAGTACTGTCATATCACATTATGACGTCACAACGGAGACGTTTAAAATATCAATCGCATAATTTTATCTCGTACAATCATGACGTCATAAATTCGCTGGTGTTATGACGACGTAAAATGCCTAGCAACAATGTATGTAGGAAATTAGTTATACGTCATAAAGTTCGGAAAAGAAAATGCTTAAATTCACGTAAATTCTAAGGTATCACATTCCTTGTAATGAACAAATCTTATGATCACATCATCTCTCGCATTATAACGACAGTATTCTGTCGTAGCAACGCATGTATCAAGATATTGAAAGGCTTTATTTTGGAATCGTGCCTTGAAATGGAACGTTATTGTTTGGATTGCGTTATTTATTGTTCTTCGTCAACAATAATTGTCATATAACCGTGTCTTTCACGTGAGAACGGATCGTATCATCACACAATTGTTAAGAACTGCTTCAGAAATTCAAACCTTGGACCTTGCAAAAAATAACACGTGATCCGCAACTATTGTATTGAGGTATTAATTATACTTCAGGATTATCAGTGATAATCCTATTTTTAGCGGCCTTCATGGTATATTTTACAGAGTTTGAAACATATAACCTATATATATATGTTAAAGAGTTATCGCGGCCTCTTTCGATTTACCCTTGTTGTTATTTACATTTCCACTCATTGGACCCCTAGTTTTATTGACAATTGCAAAAGGACGATGTGGGTGTAGTTTAATTTATTACTATTCACTGAATATTAGATAAGACGAGCATACCTGAAAATGACCTGTAGGTTCACGAGAGGATAAGCTCGGCAAACAAAAAAGGCGGAATATATTATAATGTTTTATGATATCATCGATTGTTTGGGCAAATATGATAGAGAACAGACATTCCTACGTCAAACGTGTAGTCGTGTTCGCTCTTTATTTATGGCCTCCATTGTTGTGTCACAATGTAATCAACAAATGTGTGACGTCATTTCCTGATCGAGAGAGATACAATATACTTCACATGTTAAAAACTCGAAAATATCACGTGTGTACACACACTGAATAACGTGGCAATCATTGTGATAAATACGTGTATGTATCTATTGTCAATAATAGTTTGTACTTTTGTCATATTCTGTTATTTGTATTAATGAATCAATTTGTGTAGTAGAAATTGGATGTGACGGGTAATGTCAAATTGTAATATTCCAAGTGCATAACACATACCCTACGGAAGCCCTGGAGTGCCACTACTGAAAAATATTTTATATGGCGGCCGCCACTTAAATATCTGGCTGTTGCCACTTAATTATATCTTACTGTAAGCGCTCCGGTCCAAAATGCCAGACGATAATTAATTAGGGCTTCCGTACATGCCTACTACAGTAACGCCTTTTCAACCGCTTATTCCCAATAGACGACACCAAATCATTTTCCAGGAAAACACTTCAGTTGCTGACTTTAATGTATTTATATGGGTAGCTATGCTGTGTATTGTTTTAAACTGATAAGATAGTCGAGATTGGATCTTTTTAGAAAACAAAGCAAAGTGTTAATAAAGAAAAACGTCTGCAAAGCAATTCCACGTGTTTCTCCGACTAACGTGTACGGAGTGCAATGTATAAATGTGACCTGTTGAATTTTTGCATTTATTTCTTCGATATTTTTGATTAGTTTTGTAATGATACAATAACTATGCTAAAATCAATTTACTGGCAATCAATACAACAGACACTACAAGATTACAGATAATATAGAATAAATGATAAAATGTACATTTTTAATCATTTTTTGATGAAATATGTATTATCTGCCAACAAATTAATAACACTTCTTCTCTTCTTTTCCTTTTTTTTAATACAAACATATCTTTTTTAAAGTTGAAGAAAAAACATCACATAGGAATCCAGTTTGGCGGATAGTAATCATTCCTGTTATACTGATCCGAAAGCCATGTTTTTGGTTTTGGATAGTCTTTAAAATACACAGTTTTTCCTCCTGCTAAATAAGCACCCCACCATCCGAAAGTTCCGGAAGTGATGATACTATGTTTGCAGTGCGCAAGTATGGCCATGTCTAAATATGCAATACTCGTTTCGCTAAAGACTACGTCATCGGCTTCCAGATTTGTCTTCACCCAGCTTACTGAATCACTTACAACGATAAACAGGACCTCTTCGAATTCGTACCGGAAGTATTCAAACACCTTCCGGAAGTATTTTACATCCGCTACATTATATCCACGACGTAGTTCACGTTTGGTGCTCATGTCCCCACGACGCACGTGCACGCCAACCAGAGTCTTATTTCCAGGCCGGAAACTGTTTATTATCTTTTTGGCTCTTCTAACAATATCATCAGTAAACTGGAACAACTTCCGGACCTGCGCAATAACATGGTGAAAATATTTCCACGACTGATAGTATCCATTCAATGTTATATTTTTAGAGTGTGTTAAGTTATGTATCCGGCAGTCGTATATTCCTGCGTGTCTTTCTCCGAATGAAACACGATTTGTGGTTGAAATATGACGAAAATATTTCTGAAACTCAAACGCAGAGAATAAAAGCGATTTTTGACGTAAGAATGGTGTATATCCATGCTGTGCGGCGATCCCAAGTAATGATGCATATTTAAACATTTGATTTCCAAGTCGACCATTAAGATCAACAGTCATATAATGATATTCAAGTAAATCTACAGCTCTATTTTTAGAATTAGGTTTATAAAACTCACATGTAGGTGATTTCGATGTTTCAACATATACTGGCTCCTTCCGAAGGTGAGGCTCCGGTTTAGATCGAGAGGGAGTGCTTCTCCATTTTGTTGAATTGAAAAATGAAATATACCACCGATCTTCAGAGTTAAGCGCCCTTATTAAGCTAATATTAATTACTACTACGGCCAGGATACAGATCACCAGAAAGAATCTCGCAGTTCTGTGCATTTGAAGACACCATTTTCTTTTTAACTTCATGATTACAACACACCGTCATTGCACGCGCTGGTCCCTGTTAATGTTACGGCGTCTTTTCCACTGCAACAGTGCCACACGCTGTATATAACAAGTCCTTGAGCTCGTATCATAAAGGAATTATCCATTGTAATATTCACGTAATTATAAATTCATGTATTTTTTAGTATTCAGTATCTTCCAATAACATTTTATGTCATGTATATTTTTATTTCAAGCACTTGACGCTTCAGTCCGCGTATAACCAATTAACCGTTCGGAGTCACTGAACTTGAATACACACCGATATGTACTTAAAGACATGTATGGCACATGTACACGTACCATGTTGATTTTTTTCTAAATTACCACATGTGATTTGAAGTCATTTATGAATTAGATCGAGGGTACGTTTTTAATGTTTGATTATACGTTTAATACACAATATAAATATATAACTATATTATTCATTATTTCTCATGAATATTAAAATGAACAATCAGGAAAATTCTGTTCGGCTATTCGGAGGAATAGCCATGAAATAAAGCGTCTTAAAAATGTCACATTTGGGCAAACAAATTATAAATATTTCAAATTTTAAACTTCCGCAAATTTCATGTTAAGCTGACAAAGCTTGATATGGATTGTTTTAAAACCCCGTTGCGACCCTAATCGAGCCATTGTCTTCAACCGATTGTAACAAACAATGTCTGGATTTGTTAGGTCTTGCATCATTGATCGTCTGTGACGTGTACAGTTTTAACAGAAGCCAGATCTGAGTAATATCAAACCCAGACTAGTCTCTGGTGAGATATACCCGATAGCCAAGGAATTCGTTCATACCACACACAGGGAGTTAACGTAATGGGGAAATATTTTACGTGTGTATGTTTACGTCAGATATTAATTTGTGCATTGCAATTTCATTGAAGATATATAATTTAGTTGAAACAAATTTTATTGCCAAAATAAATTTGTACAAGGTAATTGGACACAAGTTATTATAACTTATTGGAGCAGTCTCCAATCATTCATATTCAAATACATGCTTATAAAGATACAGGCTGAAATATAAAGTATACATATTAAGCATTCACACACAGACATAAATACATGAATAAGTTTCTTTTAAAATTATAATTAAATCCTCCTCAATGGACAAATATATTAAAATATCAAATGACAACTGATTTATGAAATATGAAGAGTGTTAAAACCGTGTCTTTGTTACGGTACTTATCAAACGTTTTAAAACCCCTGTATACCATCAAAAACCTTTTTACCCGCAGTCTGGCCAATTCACCAAGTATATTCTACTTCCAATATGTCATTCGATTGCTCCCTCTCCTAATAATGGTTTTAACATGGTGATATTTAAAGCGACTATAATTTAATGACATTTAATGACAAATTTATGGACGCAGGCTTTAAGCCTTTATATCCATATCTGAAATACAGTGATAAATATACCTATTGTATCAATGGCTTTTAAAAGTTAACGCATATCATAGTTATCAATAATCATAAATTATATCTTGAAAGTGTTCATCCCAAAGTTGTTCAAAGTGTCTAACTGAATTTGCATTAAAAAAAAGACTTTCTGTTAATTACTAAAACTAAAAGCCATTGCAACCATTTTTACTGATATCTAAAAAATAAAGAATGAAAACAGTGTGGTCTTGATCTAATTCATACATTACTGCTCGTAACCCTGATGCCGCGCATGCGTATAAGCCTAGAAAGAAGCAATATGGCGGACGCAAATACGCAAAAGCGACGAGGACCTAAAAGTTACCTTACAGAAAGTGCTAGAAAGCGTAATTTATATTAGACAGGAGATCGATAGATGGCGAAAGATGAAGGTGGATCTTTGACTGAATACGGGTTCGGAAGTTGCGAAGCTGCTGCTTGACTGGTTAGCTTAACGTTAGCACTATAATTATAACGTATCCGTCTGTCATTGATTATAATCCAATATCCAGTGTTTGACGCGTGAATATGTTATGAACTACTGTATTAAACGTGTTATCTGATAAATGTTGAATGAAAATAGTTGTCTTATTCGCTTGAATTTACTATCGACAACGTGTTTTTGTTGTTGACTGCAAGGTATAGCCCAATTGGGGGTATTCGTTCTAAGTGTAAAAGTATGACCGTACTGGTGTTTCTGTAAGTATAACAACCATGATGATAAACATAGCCTTCATAATAGACAGTGCAATATATATTAATGTGTACAGACAAAGTAACAATCCCTGTGCATTTCTGCACAATTTATAGTCCGATTGTAATTACCTCCCCTGGGGCCCCACTAGAGAGAAGAGAGAGTGGGGATGGGGGTTGGGGCTCTGTTGAAAACGGGATATTTACCCACATTGTTTGAACTCTCTTACGACCGTGTGGACATGTCTAACATAACAATAACTGAAGTTACTTTTACATTTCACGAAATGCCAAGAAAATATAAGTTTATCAGGCGTCCTACAAACTGTTTACTATCTCAATAGTGTCTGCAAATTCATATTTCCATCTCTTCCTCATAACTTAATGAACATAACATATCATTGTGTGAAGACATCGCTTTCCTGTGTCCGCACCGATTGCCTATCATTTTTTTCTCAAATGACCCTCTACCATATCTGTTAAACGGTTATTTAAAATGGGTGTCCCTAAAACGTCTTTGTGAAACCCATGTCCCTACAGTTACGGTTAGAATAGACAGAAAGTGCACAAAATTCACAAGATCAGTTTCAAATAATATTTTAGCATCAGGACAAATCAAGATATTTATTTACGAGTTGCCTCCCTTTAATCATTTGCTTACCGCCAGAATTCAAACGAAGAAATTAGTAAATGTTCCGTATCGTGACGAGGAACAAACAAACACATGTACGTAGATATCTTTACTTATAATTTTGAATAGATAGTGTGTATATACTAAAACCATGTATACTAGATATTATGGTCTTAGGCTGAGTTGACACAAAGTTGAATTCCATTTTGATCTGGACTTTAAATGGAATGTAAACACAATCAGCAATTAACATAGAATTCGAGATTCCTTGATAAGAAAACGTTGAATAAAAGTAAAATTGAAAATAAGTATATAATAGGTTCTTTGACATTGTTATAAAAATATATCTTATTGCTTTATATATTTATTTATTTATTTATTGACCGAGCTGTACTTCCACTTTCGGCCTTTTCGGTGGACATTCCCTCTTGTTTTATAGACCTTTTATGATTTGTTCCGGATATCATTGTTTACCTATATTTGTTTTGTCAACAAATATCTTCAAGTATCACGACAACAGTTGTATGCAGAATTATGTTAATGATCACAAAAATAAATAGCACACGATAAAAAGCTGGTTTTGCTATATATATTAGATATCGTTAAACATTCTGGGTTTAAAGGCATGCGTACAATTATACAAATCACTTTTAGCAAATTTCAAGAAATTATGAAATAATCCATCGTGTTAAACGTTAAAGGGCAGTTTACAGAATCACACTGTTGTAAAATAATTCTATTCATAATAAAGCAGAAGAGTTTTGAGATAATGGAGGAAACACGCTGTTAGAATTGATATTACTCTGTATCAGAGATTTTCAAAAGAAAATTAATTATGTATGAATATTTTCTATGAAGTGTATGAATTTCTACCATAACTATAAATAAGCAGGCACTGAACCTCATTGAATATTGTTAATGTTTAATATAATTCAATTAATTTTAGTTCCTTTAATGATAATAATATTATATATGAAAGGAAAAAAGAAAAACAATGCGGGATAGACTTCTATCTTACTTTTTTAACCTTGCTTTTCAACAATAATTATCATCACTTTTTCTACACTGTACAAAGTATAATTAAACCTTAACAGGGATACATTTGTTTCCTGGAAGAATTTGATCAGATCCACACAATGACACCAGTCACAGTCAACCCTCCTAAGACTACTCCTATGATCCACATCTTTGAGCTTCCATCATCTGCATCACCACTTTTATTATCGTCGGTTGAGCACAGGTCTACAATCCAAGGTTAACAGACGTTGTCTTTGATGCAAATGTCGTCTTTTCGAAAGGAAAGAATAGATTCTAGAATGTATGGAATACATAGGATTAGTATGACTTCAAAATAAAATAGCGCACGACATTCCGTACACCTTACTGTTATGAAAAATGATAAAATTTTACACAAACCTCTGAAATCTATAATCTTCATCCAAGATTGCCGTCTTTATTGAAATTAAGGCCAAAGAGCGACAAAGTCCTTTTTTGAAGCCTACAGTAATATACTGATAACAAAGAAGATTAACGAACGACCTATATTATAAAAAAAACATTATTGTATTTGAATGTCACATATATTTTACATCATACACAGTATACATCATTGAAATTTCACTGAAGATCTAAAAACTGCTTCTCCTGGCTACTGACATTCTTCGTTCCGTCTCGGTCATAAGATAGAAGGGAGGTAATTCGCCTATTATTAGAACACATTCATGTATTTGTGTATCCATTTGTCCAGCCTATGGTGAGGGCTTATTTAGGTTTTAGCTTTTGTTTTTTTCCAATGAAATCTTTGTGAAATTAAAATTAAAAACTGGCTGGGATGCAATATGTGACTGTATAGTATTTACATAATTCAGATACAGTACCCAACTTCTAACAGAGGTAAATATATTGGATCTTATGTATGATAGTGTATGTTACAAACATTCTTAGAAAGTATTTATCATCCGCGGGAAATAATTTGTTTATCCTACTCATTCTGTATTGTGTATATATGGTTTGTATTTATACATAAATAACACTTGTTTATAGAACTTGTCGGTAATTGGAAAGTTTTTATTGAGAATGAAAATAAAATATTTGCATAGCCATTACACTGAGACTTGAGTTAGCATGAAAATGTAAATATTGATTTTACATTTTCGAAGAACCGCACAGCAGATGGATCTACATTGTGCAAATTGGACATTCTCATACGGGCCACTATTTTTTTTATCTTTTTGTAGACTGTGTTATCTTTACCCTATGTTGGCAATGTGTAATGACGAATGACACGTTTTCTTCAGGCCAGACGCGTATGTAGTAACGGTGATGGGCAAATTAAATCCACTGATTCATATAGCGACGATGTATTGTTTAACGAAACCTATCATTTTACATTTAGTCATGGTTTAATACATGGGATTCGATACTCTGGGATGAATAGTTCACACGTTAACAATGTGACTCCATTGTGTTGTTTGTTCTTTTTCAATTGACATTAACATTGACTAAATTTTCTACGTATCGATTCTTTGTACAAACGACACGATCTATATTTTACTGTGAATATCCATTGCGGCACCTTCCGTGGTTTAAAACATACGATACCTATGTGTTTGATTGTCTATTAACTTTGGCTGTTTTGATCAATATATTAATGTTAACTATTATCTGTGTGAGTTCATCAATTCTGGACTATGGCAATCGGAACTGCTCCGCAAAAACATAGGGTAAGCCGAAATGGATTCCTGGCTGATCCTTCCAGCACTGATTGTGATGACAGGTGAGTGTTGTTTTTGTCTTTATTCCTCCTACTAACATCTATGATAATCAAAGGACACATTCCTATGCATTGTTTTTGTTTTCCGAATGTACTCCTTACTGGAATATACTGAGGAAGGTCTCGGAAGGACACCCCATCCGGTAACATTATAATGTCAGCATGCCTTCTAGTTGTCCTCCTCCATAGTGCTGGGCGAACGAAAAACCGAGAGAAGTAATAATTACCCCCTCCGCCCCCCCTCCCCCCCCCCCCACACACACTCATTTCTTTTTTTTAAATGAAACCTCCATTTTGATACTGACATGGGTTTGAACCCAAAACCGCAAAGAAGGACTAGTTCGAATGTGTTAGAAAGTTGTGATATTCCCGCCAACATCCACCTCTTCGTTATTCTATTTGTAGTATACAGACGAACATCTTCACTTCATGGTAAAGAGGATATTATTTCGTCAAATGATTTTATAGATGATAAAATGTAGTTAAGGTCTATTTTATTTCCTGTTTTCAATCTTCCTATAAACTTTACTTAACCAAGATGTCTTGCAAACAGACCAAAAAAACGACAATCAAAGTAGATTCTTTTAAAATCTTGGAAACGCCACAAGTTTAAAAATGAAAATGTATTGCAGATACTATGTCCTTTAACATAAGTCAGTGTTGCTGGTAGCGACAGCCAAATCTGTAGAATTACAGGGAGATGATGGAGATGGTACCACTACATATCTGTTGAATACATCTTTTGTCATCCTCGATCGGTAATGTCACTAATTTCTGGCGGTTAATATTAAGCGGATGTGATTATCTTCATTTGAGCGAATAAACCTATTTAATCTGGTAGAATAATAATTCATTTACATTTTTAAGATTCCTATAAAAGTAGTTACCGTTAGCTTTCCGCATGTCAATACTAAATTAAGCCAGCTGGTCACACTGTGTTGTGTCGAAGCTATATGATTCAAGATGTTGACCTGTAGGTGAAGACGAAATTTTTTTTTTTTTATTTTCGTAATTTTTCTCCACAAAAGTATTTTTTGTAGATAGCAGACCTTGTATTCAACGTCTTCAACCAGAACATACTATCTAAAAATAGTTTTGATAAAAAAAAGTTGCTTGGTTTGGTTTCCTTTTACGTTCTATCCTATCAACGGTTACAGTTATTTGAGTTGGATGCGTGTTTGTGTTGATAGTTCAGAACTGAAGTTTATGTCAATATTGAACTGTGCACATATTAATCTGAAGTTTTAACATACAAATGTATCACTATGATTTCGTATTAGATATTCACTTGAAACACATTACTTTGTACTACACTATATTTTTCCTCTTGTTACATTGACCGTTACAGTCTAAATTCTAAAGATAACATTTGACTTATCTGCGAAACACTTAACCATAATTTTCACTATTGCAGGTCAAATACATCGCATAAATATTGGGTCTATCGTACTGAAGTAAAGCATTGAGCATTTGGTTTTCACATAGCCACCGGCCTATCTGTGTATCATTACTTTCGCCCATTGTTAAAACAATTAAATATCATACTGTGATTGACATCAAAATTCACTCTGGAATCACTTGTTCAGGAAGCAAATATCATTCCTCTTGCTCCCGTCACATAATCGTAAAAGGCGGCTAAATCCGAGACTTTCAATATAATGGTGCTCTATCTAAGCTACTATTCTTTTTAGATAAATCATCTTTACAACAACTGTGTCTTTGCCCCTATGAGGAAGGGTTTCTGGTCTGTTCCCTAGTACAGACTTACCAAGGTCTATAAAACTGTTTCCTGTATTTATTATTCTGCGCTATACACTTTTATTGCTCTAGTGTAAGAGCTATTTCTTCCGTTAGCTTACAACATAGCCAGATGGAGTTTCTAGTCGAACACCTTCGGATTTACACTTCATTGTGATAGTACAACATAAAAAAGGCTACAACAGCTTGCGCACATCCTCAAGATTTATACGATAATAAAACAACCTCCAACTTCGTATACATGGGTTTTGGATTGGTTTTCTGTTGCTCAACGTCCTATCAACAGCTAAGGTCATAAAAGGACGACAACCTGATGGAGTGAGTTTGTGTTTTTGATTTTTTTTTATTTAAGCCTTCAAGAAAATGTCGCGCCATATCTTTTGATAGGACACAATATAAACCCAGATCAGACTGACAAGACTTGTTTTCATCCCAATCAAATACTGAGCGCCACACAGCAATAAGAGCCCTGTTCGGCATGTTTTTTGTTGACCTTGGACAGTAAAGTACATTCAGTATGTACCGGTAACACTATATTTGTCGCCACATCAATTAGGCAAGGGACATTACTAGATAATTGTTTGAATGCATTTCACTTATACCTAACATTTCTGACGATCGATAATGAATTCAAACTACAGATTTTAATGACACCAACAACACATAATGGCCGCCTATTTATCTGGTACCAGCACGGTCGATTTTGGTCTACTAGTGTCACGTGTAATCACGATCAACCCGATAAGTTTGTCGAAATACTTTTGTCTTTACCTCTGGTTGGTAGGTTAGTTAGATAGCTAGTAGTAGACACTGCTGGTGGACTTAAAGTCCCTGTGATTTGTATACTCGACGCTGCTTTAAAATTATCTCATGTTTGAAAATCACAAAATTCATTTATGTGACTGCTGCATTTATCCGTCTAAATGTTCTTTTAATCACTTTTAGTCACCTCCCAGGCTTCAAAGTACAGGCTCTTATTATCAATGACGTGCCCTAGAAGGACAAAACATCTGTATGATGTAGCATCACTGACGAGTCCCCGAAGGACGAAACAGCTGTGTGATGTAGCATCACTGACGAGTCCTAGAAGGACGAAACAGCTGTGTGATGTAGTATCAGCTGTATGTTGTAGCGTCACTGACAAGTCCTAGAAGGACGAAACAGCTGTATGATGTAGCATCACTGACGAATCCTAGAAGGACGAAACAGCTGTATGTTGTAGCATCACTGACGAGTCCTAGAAGGACGAAACAGCTGTATGATGTAGCATCACTGACGAGTCCTAGAAGGACGAAACAGCTGTATGATGTAGTATCAGCTGTATGTTGTAGCGTCACTGACAAGTCCTAGAAGGACGAAACAGCTGTATGATGTAGTATCAGCTGTATGTTGTAGCGTCACTGACAAGTCCTAGAAGGACGAAACATCTGTGTGATGTAGCATCACTGACGAGTCCTAGAAGGACGAAATAGCTGTGTGATGTAGTATCAGCTGTATGTTGTAGCGTCACTGACAAGTCCTAGAAGGACGAAACAGCTGTGTGATGTAGTATCAGCTGTATGTTGTAGCGTCACTGACAAGTCCTAGAAGGACGAAACAGCTGTGTGATGTAGTATCAGCTGTATGTTGTAGCGTCACTGACAAGTCCTAGAAGGACGAAACACAACTATGATGTAGCATCACTGACGTGCCCTAGAAGGACGAAACAGGTGTACGATGTAGCATCACTGACGTGCCCTAGAAGGACGAAACAGCTGTGTGATGTAGTATCAGCTGTATGTTGTAGCGTCACTGACAAGTCCTAGAAGGACGAAACACAACTGTGATGTAGCATCACTGACGTGTCCTAGAAGGACGAAACAGGTGTACGATGTAGCATCACTGACGTGCCCTAGAAGAACGAAACAAGTATGATGTAGCATCACGGACGAGTCCTAGAAGGACGAAACAGGTGTATGTTTTAGCATAAATGACGTGCCCTAGAAGGACGAAATAGGTGTATGATGTAGCATCACTGACGAGTCCTACAAAGACGAAACAGGTGTATGATGTAGCATCACTGACGAGTCCTACAAAGACGAAACAGGTGTATGAAGTAGCATCAATGACGTGCCCTAGAAGGACAAAAATGGCGTATGATGTAGCATAACTGACGTGCCCTGAAAGAACGAAACAGCTGTATGATGTAGCATCACTGACGAGTCCTAGAAGGACGATACAGCTGTGTGATGTAGCATCACTGACGAGTCCTAGAAGGACGAAACAGCTGTATGTTGTAACGTCACTGACGAGTCCTAGAAGGACGAAACAGCTGTACGATGTAGCATTATTGACGAGTCCTAGACGAACGAAACCGCTGTATGATGTAACGTCACTGACGCGTCCCAGAAGGACGAAACAGATATGTGATGTAGCATCCTTGATGGACGAATCAGCTGTTTGGTGTAGCATCACTGACGTCATAGAAGGACGAAACAGGTGTATGATGTAGCATCACTGACGTGTCCTAGATGGACGAAACAGCTGTACGATGTAGCATTATTGACGAGTCCTAGACGAACGAAACCGCTGTATGATGTAACGTCACTGACGCGTCCCAGAAGGACGAAACAGATATGTGATGTAGCATCCTTGATGGACGAATCAGCTGTTTGGTGTAGCATCACTGACGTCATAGAAAGACGAAACAGGTGTATGATGTAGCATTACGGACGAGTCCTAGAAGGATGAAATAGGTGTATGATATAGCATCACTGACGAGTCCTAGAAGAACGAAACATCAGTATGATATAGCATCACTGACGTGCCCTAGAAGGACGAACCATCAGTATGATGTAGCATCACTGACGAGTCTTAGAAGGACGAAACAGCTGTATGATGTAGCATCACTGACGAATCCAAGAAAGACGAAATAGCTGTATGATGTTGATGTAGCATTAGTGACGAGTCCTAGAAGGACGAAATAGGTGTATGATGTAGAATCAGCAGTACGATGTAGCATCACTGACGAGTCCTAGAAGGACGAAGCAGCTGTATGATGTAGCATCACCGACATGCCCTAGAAAGACGAACCATCAGTATGATGTAGCATCAGTGACGAGTCCTAGAAGGACGAAACAGCTGTATGATGTAGCATCACTGTCGTACCCTAGAAAGACGAACCATCAGTATGATGTAGCATCAGTGACGAGTCCTAGAAGGACGAAACAGCTGTATGATGTAGCATCACCGACATGCCCTAGAAAGACGAACCATCAGTATGATGTAGCATCAGTGACGAGTCCTAGAAGGACGAAACATCAGTATGATATAGCATCACTGACGTGCCCTAGAAGGACGAACCATCAGTATGATGTAGCATCACTGACGAGTCTTAGAAGGACGAAACAGCTGTATGATGTAGCATCACCGACATGCCCTAGAAAGACGAACCATCAGTATGATGTAGCATCAGTGACGAGTCCTAGAAGGACGAAACATCAGTATGATATAGCATCACTGACGTGCCCTAGAAGGACGAACCATCAGTATGATGTAGCATCACTGACGAGTCTTAGAAGGACGAAACAGCTGTATGATGGAGTTTAATTGATTGTTTGGCTCTACTGTATCTTATTCTAGATAATGAAAAGGTGTTTTTCATTTGTGTGTCTTTTGTACAATCATGAAAGTAAACCAGCAAAGACATTTTACCTGTTAACGAGTAAACATATACATACAACTTGCACATGTGAGGCAATTTGACCTGGAATGCTTCCGAATGTCTTTTGCCAATTTTCAGTGAAGTGTTTCCATATGAAGTTCCATGCAATATGTTCAGGTGAGTATGACGATACGGCACTATCATTTGCGTAGACCGGCTTTAGATGACTCAGGCTGTTGCAAGGACGTAAATCCCTAAAGAAGCATCTGGGGTAATACATTCTCGGAACTTAAAAGGCTTTCACTTATATTTCAGTGTTGTTTTCTTTACCTGCTATCCTTAATGTATTGATGAAAAGTATAGAATGTTATAAAGTCTATAGCGACTGGTTGTCCTTCGCAGTTTTACTTTTCTTGTTTTCTTCATTGAATTTTTAATTTTGTAGTTCAAAATGTGTATGGTTCTTAAGCTATAATTTGTACATACCCGAAATTATATATTTTTTTTCTTGTGTGAACATAACATGATGTTGTATCTTCTCGAAAACCTTTTTACTGCCAACCATCATTTTTGTTTGCTGGATGGTTATCTCGGTGTTGGTGAAATGTAACCCTGTGGTGTGTTTGTTGTCGTAACCCAGATAATGATATTACAGTAAATACATTATTATGGCACTATAAATGCGTCTATCTTTGAATCAAATTCAGTTTCCAAACAACCTTGTTTGTTTTGATATCGCACAAAAACGGAACAAAGCTTTCGCAGTTGAAGATGTCGAAAACTAGGTCGCCTCTTATGGCTTGTTTCTGCAGGTGTTCCTGGTAGCTGTTTCATACAGTCATCCTGGCAGAATGATGAAAACGAAGCCGACGTCATCTTCAATGACAGCGTATTATTTAAAGCAGAAGTTGACAGCATAATCGACTGCGCTGATTCGTGCAATCTACACACAGTGAAATGTAGATCATTCAGCTATACTTCCAACACCAAGGAATGCCGAGGGTACGGTGATCTTCTACAAGGACGAGAAAGTCAGGCTGGTACTTCACTATGGAAAAGTAAGTAAAAACATTTGTCACTAGAATGAGATAAAGCTAAACCAAATCTGTAGGGACATTCTCAAAACACGACATTCGTTAGGACCGGTGTGACACTGACTTTCTAGCTCGATGGAAAACTTGGAGGTGTGATAAAGTAAAAAAATCATGTAAATGTCCTCACAGAGAAAGGAAAATATAACCAGCCGCCAAAGCACAAAAAATTCAAGAAACCGGAAAGACAGTTTTTGAACCCTTCAAAAAGTAATGTCTATTTTACTGTTTTTGTTTCAAGTTGGACTTATGCTTCAATTTCAGAAGTATGCAGGAGAGACGATTATACGTACGATCCCGCTTACGATACATGCGTGCGGCTCTTCAGTATTGAAAAGTCTTGGTGGGAGGCATCATATTGGTGTAACAACGACGGAGCATATCTGCTAATTGTCGATACCGTAGCGAAAATGCAAGCCACTCAATCCGGGTTGCACAGCATTACGTTTCAAAGTGAGTAGAAGTTTACTGCTGTTGCTGTAAAAAAGTAATTTTTTCTCATTGTTACGATTTGTTTGTTTGTGCCGTGACAAGGATATGTCATAAATTAGACACTTAAGTTTTACATTACATCCGGTCCAATTATAGTAACCGCGAACTTAGAACTCAAACGACATACATATTGTGCTCATGAAGTCCGTCAGTGGTCACTCATACTAGAACATTGAAATAGGATCAGGGTCGTAGATAAACTGCTCAACAGTGTTTTATTTATATATAAACATTAATTATTCACATCATCTCCTGTCCACGTGGGTCCGTGGTGGCAGAGTGGTTAAGGCGTCTGCCGTCTTTATCATTCACCCTCTACTGCTGGGTTGTGGGTTCGAAACCTACATGGGTCGCTGGTGTTCCTCAGAGAGCTCTGCCTTTTCTACATAACACAACTCTGTTAGATTCTTAAATTATCCTGGACGTAAAGCAAAATTAAAATCAACTAAATTAAACCTATTTCCTGTCTACAGAATTTCATCATGATTATTATCAGTGAATATCGATGATACCACACTTTCCTTCGATAGTGTCCACGATAGGGCACAGGGAACGCTAAATCGGGGAGTCAAAATAAACTTCAGAGCGTGTATCCCTCTCACTTGAGAATTCCTCTTTCATATCTGTTGTGTAAATCATCAGAGACCTGACCTTTACCTGCTAGCGGACCATTTGGGAATGAATGTAGCGACTTCCTGTGTAACCTCCGATTGCTCCCGCCGTACTTTTCCATTCTTACTTTAGATACAGGAACAACATTGTTGGGTTGTGCAAGGACAATGAACACATCTTCCTAATTATCAGATGATATGTGATGACATGACCATCTTGCACCACTTATACTCTGTCACTGGTTTGGATGGAACAATACTTTACACGAGTATCGTACTTCTTCCTTTGACGATCCTTAGCACGACTGGATGTTCCCCATACCTCCACCTTTTTCGGAGAGAATCTACATATTTTGAGTAGCTGATACACTTTTCCGCATGAGATCTTTCATTTTCAATCATTTACTAATTCTGGATGCCATCCATACATGAATAAGTATGTCCAATCCTTTCATGACGAGGTATATTCGTGGCTTAAAGACTCTATGTGCAACTGTTTTTTCTAATCAGCTTTGTTGTAGTGTTCCAAACATATCCAGTAACATAACATCGAATGCTTCTTTACTCTAATATCACAAACGATTTCTAAATTAGTTTCCTGGCTTCTCGGTTTTCCTTTTACCTTTTTGTGATATTCTAGCACAGGGAAAATGGTTTGGTAAAGGCAAAAGAAATATTGATAATTTTTTAGTGGCCCTGAAATCCAACAAAACTTTTCGACTCGTCAGGGTAAGTAGACACCTCCCCTCTTACAATTGTTTTGTTGTTTTCTCGATCAACTTCTACAACTACAGCCTTGCCAACAGGGTTAGTAGTTAACAACTAATGCTGTTAAAGACATGGCAACAGAAGCTGAGGCCTTCGTTGCAAGAACGAACGATCAACTAAACTGAAACAAGGCACGGACAGGAAGTAAAGACGGAAACATAACGATGTCAAGTTTATTTGTATCTTATTGTACTGTTTAAGCCGGAGTTCGAGTTAGACATATTTCGGACTGAATTTCGCAATTAGTTTTTACTTCCGAAAATTTTAGTAGCACTACCAACCTAGTATGATAACCAGATATTATATATCGAATATTGTTTCACCTGCTTCTATAAAACTAAAATATTATCAGGTATAAACGCGTGCCAAAACGATTTTAAAGGAATCTTGAAAGGAATAAATTTGTACTGTATCACGACTAAACGGTCTGAGTGAATCGTTTAGCCCTTCAGTTATATATTAAGACTAAAGTAAATGAATGTTATCAGATTTATAAAAAAAAACTTAATTAATTGAATAATGAGGCTGGCGCCCCTCCTCATCTTCTTTCGATCGTTTTGTATTTTCTGCAGTCGCCGCCTATATATCAAGGCATCACTTACAAGTCCTAGAAGATGAAAAAGCTGTAGCAAGCAGTCTACTTCATTGTTTCGATCTTCAGTGCCTAACACCGAATTAGTATGACGATATGTTTTCGCTTGTGTAATTTGTATAATATTTTGTCTTTCCGTCACTATTACAGCATTTATTCATAAAATAATAATGCATCGACACCTAAATAATCTTTCTTCAAACTATGCATTCTACAAACCGAAAATGCCAAGGGCTATCAAAATCGAGTAATCACGTGACTTGCATGGGTAAAATTTCAGAAAGTCTTGCTTTAGATTCAATTTGAATGGCAGTTATCGGATCACCTGCATATATTTATACATTAAATTAATGCATCTCAGCTAAACGAAAAAGGTAGGTAGGGGTTTGTACTTTTGCATTTCTTAAAATGTCAATTTCACTATATTATTTTTAATTCTTAGCCTATGATATATGAATAATAAGCAATATGGTATTCTTTGATATTTTACATAAAGAAAGCTGAGAATACGTACTTTACTTTTTCAGCGGAAGACCGATGGTGGCTTGGCGGGTACGACTATGATGCAAGTTCTGTTAACGACTTCCGTTGGATAAACGGAGAACCAATCAATGACACCAGTATATTGTGGCATCCAAACGAGCCAAATGATGTTAATGAACGTTGTATCAACCTGTACTCACTTTCTGCTTCACTGAATGACCTTCATTGTTCAACCCTAGAATATTTTGTGTGCCAAGAGGATTTGTACACATGATGAGGATTACTTTGGTGATTTGATGTTGAGTTTTCATCTGCTTTGTGATCTCTCAGTGATTAGTCGATTTTATGGCAAGATACGTTTAGCTCATGTATTCAAAATATCATAATTATTTGTAGGTTGATCGAACTTCTGGAATAATAAAAAAATCAAGAAAATACTAACATGTTAACATAGTCGTAATCCAAATTTAAATTCCAGACAAGGAAAAATTATGAACAAAAGACAGAATAACACGGAAACTCCAGAAAAAAAAACTATAAGAATAAGACCAGGAATTCCGGAAGAGTAATCGTAATCTGCTTCGTGGAAGAAGTTTATGTGAGATATTATTGTTAAAGTTCTTACAAATTCAATTCAATATTGAGGTGAAAGCTTTATGCCTAGTTCTAAGACAGCTGTTAAGCAAAAAAATATTTTATTAAAAAGAGACAACGATGACAATATATGTCTGGACTATTTGAAATGATATCAAATTCTAACAATGCATTACAAGCTATACACCCTCCTTTTTCTACCTAAACTTATTCTTTAAGATTGCAGGTGGTAGATTTAGCTGGTCGACTTTAATCCCCGATGTTTGCCCTAACCTGCATGTCAGGTTTCATTTCATTCACATAGTGGCTTGGATCAGAATAAACACATGTACTTGACATTGTCTTTAAATTATCAGATATATAAAAATTCAGAAATTTATATAGATATGGGGCTAGTTCACCTATCCTAGGTTTTGATTTCTTTCGATCACTTTGGATTTTTCCCGGTCATTTCGAAGGCTTCATCATTTAGGCTCTTATTACCAATGATTATCCCTAGAAGGACGAAACAGCTGTATGGTGCAGTTTAGATCATTCTTTGTCTCTATTGTATCTACGTCTTAATTGTGTTTGCACTCCCATTAGAGAAGATTATCGAAAGTGTGATGTTTGATCAAAATCACACAATAATGCAGTCAACAGATAGCAGCCAAAGCTTTTCTGCAGTAAGTGACATTTACCTTGACCTAACAGCGCCCTAAAGACAAACTGGTCAGTGCACGGTCCTTTAAAGGAATGTGAAGTTTGATGGAAATACACATGGAAGACACTAGATTTCTGAAAAAAACTAAGCATAGTTTCGTTGACCTTGACATTAAGTAAAGAATCGTGAAGCTTTTAACCTGTTCAAGATCATCTATAAGTGTGTGAAGTTTAATCAAGCTTCCCCCAGAAGAGAAGCTGCTACACTATTGAAAGGATTTCCTGCAAATGGTGACGATAGTCTTAGCTTTGACCTAACAACCCTGATACTCGAAATTAACAGAGATATATCGGTCCATTAAAAGGAATGTAAAGTTTGATATTTAAAAAATATATATTATCAAGCCACTGCAGCACTAGCAACAGGGACTACCAGGGACCTTGACCGTAATCCCACAAACCAAAAACTCGAAATAATCGGAAATATTATAGTCTGTAATATATTGTAATTTGTATCAGGGAATAAAGTCGATGACAACAAAATACTTAAGAATGGTAATCCCTATGATTTCGGTGCGAAGGAATGAAAAATACCGAAATATACCCCCCAAAATAACATGGACAACAATTATTATAACTGCTTGTTGCTGGCCTCCAGAGATGTTTTGGTCATGAAATGTTCCAAGAGAACATTGGACGGGGATAAACGGACCTCCTTTCTTTAATTATTCACCGAACGTGAACTTGCCCTTAAAACGACTTCTTTTCAATAACCATACGGCCCATGGCACTGATTAATGTACTATAGCATGTAGTCTGCTGTGGTAAAGAGCTACCATGTTTGTTTAAGTTAATGGTCTTGGTCTCCTTTCAATATTACAGTCTTTAAACGGTTTGAAGCAATAGCCGAGAGCCATGAAAATGGTCCACTAAAGCTCCATGCAAATAGTTACCCAATGAATGGTACTTGACCACTTTAAAATGTGATGTGAATTTCAGCATTTTGTTCAACGATCAATACGTTATTGTGTATAAGTAGGTTTGGGGTGTGTGTTTTGAAATCTGCAGAAAAGAACAGACGAACTTTTCATAAAATGGTAGTTCATGGTTACAGCATTCCACTCAGCATTACATAAGATACACAGAACTATTTGGATCTGTTGTTAGCTGAGTGTGATTCAGAAGGGTGGCCCAGTAAAGGTGGAGGAGTCTTCAAATACAACCACAATACTAGTGAGAAACACAATGACAAATGGACATTTGGTGAGATAAGCATTGTTGTATGTCAGCGTGGACGATATACCTTTTTAGGCATCACCAATACTCCTTGTTTACCTTCACTATCGATCTGTGAACTTGTCAAAATGTCATCAAACAATAAGGTATTTACAATAATATATATATTTTCACGGAACTCGATTTTAATTTTTTAATTTTGCGAATGTTTGATTTCTGTAATAAATATACCAATAAATGTGCTTGTGCTTATTCCCTCATTCCGTTGACCCATGAGTTCGTGGTTCTAGCATATTGAAAAAAAATTATACTCGTTTCCTCAATTTCACATGAAATTGAAATCTATACGAGATGTTTTGCATATAGTATAAAGCATTTGTTTCGTTATTCAGTGATTGATGAGGTGAAATGATTACATACTAAGATACAACAGAGATATAGGAGTGCAGGTTTCTCGGTTTTTTTTATTCTATTTAAATATACATTGGTAATTTTACAAACAATATTCTTGTCATGTAGGGAATCAGAAATATAGAATCTTCCCTGATATGAATACCTAAAATTTTAATAATACAAATGCATTAAACATTTTTTTTCAGGTTAGATAGACATGATGGGTTTTTTTACTGGCAAAAATAAGGTTTCTATTAAACATATCCGCATCAAAAATTGTTAGTCAAAATCATAAGTAGATTGCAAAATGATACACTTCCTTAATATTCACAAAAGAAGCTTTATATGAAGTTTTTGTCAAGCAATGAAATTTTTGTGCTAAAAAGGATATTGAAAATCTGAACAATTTTTTGACAGAATAAGGAAACTTACCATTTTTTAAATATAGGAATAAAATAATAATATGTATCTAGTATAATGTAATTTAAATTATAATTCTTTTTTGGATATCAGCTTTAAACATGATTCGTTTTGATGAAAGCATATCATGTAAAGTATACTACATTCAACTTCTTTATTTCGAAGTCTGCGGGACCGTTGGAAAACTTCGGTTTATCCGAATATTCGATTTAATTGAGATGGAATTTTTGGTGAAAAGTTTAATCTGAACAGTCGGTAAACTTCGAATTAAACGGGGTATTAGTTGTATTCGAGCTCGAGATAACGAAGTTTGACTGTGTTTTAAAGAAACGGAGAAAAGGGGTTTATCAAAATATCCGAAAAGCCTTCTTAGTCCACAGAAGCATCTAGTTTCCCAACGTGCATCATCTACAACAAACACAAAGGAAGTATATTAGAGGACAAAAAGATAGAATAACGAACGATATTTTTTTAGTTTCAACAAAAATGATCGAAATGAAAAATTAGAAGTTAAAATTTTGTTTTAACTGTCCTCTTTCATAAATCCCGTATGTTTGTTGTAGATTTGTGTTATTTAAACATTTTCTTTATTTGGTACATGAATATATACAAAGACAATATATAATTTACATGGTGTGAGTTTGAGAAAAAAGTCACTAGATAAAGAGCTGAAATCAAATATCACTTTGAGGACCAGCTCTTTTTTCAATGTCTATGGTATTCCTTGAACTAATTAATCGACAGCATGAGATGGCAAATTCTCCAAGTTTTTTTTTATCTTATTATGATCACAATACATTTAACGAGCTAATAGTATGGATTGTATTTCACGATATAAAAAAGGAAATCTTAGTGTCAACATGATGTTAAATAAATCCCAAAATCGATAAGAGATTACAAGTATTACAAAAGAAAGATTTAAACGGAAAAGAATTTTTTAAATAGCACATGGAGAATATGTTTACGTGTTCCAGAGGAGTAAGCGTCTTCTGCTTCTTCAACGACACGTGCAATCAAAATTGCAGTAAGTCTAAATAAGATCAAAGCAAGTTTAACTTTACTTCTACATTACAATTTCTATATAATTTTATTTCCTTTTCCAAAGTCATTTCTTCACGTGTCATCATATATTGGTAACTTTATTCGTTGAGTCAACATCAGATTCACCGCCATCACCATCTCCAAAACCTATCTGGAGCAGTGTTCTGTGTTTACCTTCTATCAGAATAGAATGTTTGGGAACATCAATTGTTTTTTCAAAATCATCATCGACATTGAAAATGGGTAGGACCTGGTCGTTAATAGCTGTATTTGTATCAAGACCCTGACACTCCTCTCCAAACTCATAACATTTGGTCATAATATTGCTAGAGGTACAAGCATGCCCTTCAGTTGTCCTAGAGACGTTTACGTCAGTTGAAACAAGATCGTCAACATAGATACCAGTACTGTCATCACGTGACTTCAGATCATGTGATTCAACATCACGTGATTCATTTGCTACAGGTTCGTCCTCCCCAAGCATTGAATCATCATTTTCACTGTCAGTCGAGCCATCTACGCCAAAATTATCTGTATTTGACGGTAGTTCGAGATGTCTTACGTTATTCGATGTTTTCGTCACTTCCGGTGACACCTGAACACTTACTGTCACAGATTTACCATTCCTTGGTGTTCCTTCCTCTTCCGGTAAGAACTGCATCATCTTTTGATCATTCAGCTCGTAACCAGACGGAATATTCAACATGGCTGACAGTCTTCTGCCAACGACACGTGCAACGTTGACCTTGCTGGTTTCTCCTCTTGCTGCCAGGAGGCGCTGATAAAGATAACAGCTCAAAACCCATGACGTCACTAAGGACACGCATACTAATCCGGCTATAACGTATATGAGGTATTTGTTGATATTAACATTTCCGTCGGTGGTGTCCGACTGTTTTTTCTCTGCAATAAGGAATTACATATGGTCAATGTTTTTCACAATTTCTTTCACTAGCAACTTTACAATGTGATCACCCCCCCACCCCCCCACCCCCCCCCCCCCCCCCCAAAAAAAATCATATTGAAGTATTCATTTGTCTGTTTGGTTTTATCACCCTGTGAACAGCTAGTGCCATTTCGAGGCTTGGTCTCATTTTAGTAACTGATAGCGACCTCACAGAAGAACAAACAGGAGGCCAGCTTCCTGAGAAACTCAAACCTACAGAAACAATGAGCGTCGAGCATCGAACCACGCATCTACAATCTTAGCCTAAGCTTACGTAATCCAACACCGTAACGTCCATTGGTATCGCGGCCTCCACCCCCAAACAAAACTGGTGAAAATATCCGAAAATATGACTTGTAACCAAGAAAATTCATAATTATGTACACATGTTTCCTCTATATATACACCACAATACTATATATATATGTAGATATATACAGTAATGTGATCACAGTACACTGGATAACCGACCGTAATACACGGGTAGCGTTAGAATGAACTTCATTTCTTTAAAACAATTTCGAAACCAGTTTTTCAAACTTATATTGGTCCCTCTTGTAAAGGCGGATGGAAGCGCGCGAGGGGTCTGACTGTGCGAGGAAATCGGCGTACCCGGGGAAAACCCACATGGACGGAAAGATGAACTCATACATTTTCATGTATATCGATGAATCAGTAGTTTATTCACGAAAATTTTCAACCTAGAACAAATTTTATAGATTTTGATGACTTCATTCATGTATATGATCTGTAATCAGATTAATTCTTATATTGATCTTGAAATTAAATTTGTTTAGAGTTATGTCCCTCTATTATATACCGGTCTAATTATATACATATTTGTGTACCTTAATTAGTTAATTATAGATTTTTAACAAAACTGATTTTTGCTTTATTTGTTCTAATAAGAGTTGCACGTAAAGATATGTTTGCACATTTCCTTAAATACACTTTACCTACCGGAAGGATGCGAATGAGGGGCGATAACTCGGACTGTTGTTCCACAAGTAATTTTATCAACATCGTTTTCCGACGACAATCTCCGCTTCCGTTTTTTCTTCCCCCAGCCGACAACTTGTCGACATACGGTCTGGAATCACAAAACATGAGGTAAGCATTTTGAAATTATTTGCACGTAAAATCTTAAATAGTGGTTTTGCGTTCAAGAGTTGATAATTTCCATTTTAATTTCTTTCGCCATTACCAATCTCTAAACAACTAGATTGTACTTTATGCAATGTGACTCATTTAATTTTCGTTTTGTATGTATGGCATAGATGTATTCTGAAAACATCAACAAAAATCTTCAAATCGTTAAATTCGTCACAGTGTTTATTTTCCAGGATTTGCAGAAGGATAATCGTGATTATTTCACTAACTGATGTCTTCTCTTACATCCTTAAACAAGAAGTCCTGATAACTTCACCAAGGATCAGCCCTTATCACTGCGACAAATCATCACTTCATCAAGGAATAGCCACAATGACGTCATCAAAGAACAGCCACGATGACGTCATCAAAGAATAGCCCCATAGAAAACCCTTATCACATTATCAAAGAATAGCTACCATGATGTCGTAAAATAAAAGCATCGCTTAGTTCATCAAAGAATAGCCACGATCACACTATCAAAGAATAGCCACGATCACACTATCAAAGAATAGTTACGATGACTTCATCAAAGAAAAGCCCCGATCAACTCATCAAAATAAAGCTCCGATCATTCATCGAAGATTGGCTACGATGAAGTCACGAAAGAGAAGCCGCCGATAATTTCGCCAAAGATTAGTCAAAATGACGTCATCAAAGTATAGCCATGATCACTTCATCAAAAAGGGATATTCGCGATGACGTCATCATAGAATAACCACGGTGACGTCATCAAAGAATAGTCACCTATGGCTTAATCAAAATCCATATAAAGAATAATCGCAATCACTCGATCACAGTTAAGCCTCGATCAGGTTTGGAAAGTTTGGATAAGATCCACAAGTGGCAATGAACATTATCTTAATATACGTACCGGTTCACAGCTACCCTGACACACCAACAATGTACAGGCGAAGGTCATATCAACCGAATCCTTGCCCTCGTAGTTAGTCGGGATGAATGCTTTAAAGTTAGAAACGAGGCTCCCGTCTGAATCGCGATGGAAATTAGGAAATATATTGTCATCTTCTGCACATCTATTTGAAACCAAAGAAAAACAGACTCAGTTCAATTATCTTTGTCCAATACGGTTTGTTTTCTGAAAGTTTCCAGCAAGATTTCTTTTTTTTCTAGGAAATATAGAAATTGTGCCAAGTAATAGATTTTCAACACTGTAATTTAAGATGGTCCATGGTCTTCATGAGATGTGTTATCAAATGTGTTTGAAATTGATAAAGGTCAGAGTTGACCAACCACCGGATCGCTTTATCACTACTAAGCGGCTACATCCCTAACAGAACGTGAGACTTTATACTGACGAGATATATTTACAGGTGTGTTAATGGTATATATATAAAATATTTACCTGTCGTGGACAATGTCAATATCAGACGCTGAACAGTCTGTAGCACTGATTTCAAAGTCAGCTGTAAATAAAAACAATAACATTAAAAAACAGAAACGTATATATTGTTATGTTTAGTGACAGTACATCAGATGTAACAACCTGTTATCTGTCTCAACATTAAACAGCGACTCATTTTTTGTATGTGGTCAATTAAAAAGAAATACAGGATGAACTTCATATTACCTGTTATGTGACGACAATTTCAAAAATACTAAGTATGTGAAAATGTTATGATTAATTGAAAATCCCAATAAAATTCAAACCGATAAAGGGAAAAAACCCCAAAAAACAAGTTATTAAACAGAACAATTTAGAACTATTGATTGTGCGTTTTAAGTTTGCACGAGTGAGTGAAGTGCCATTTTTGTCAAATGTCAGATTTTCATCCAGTCAGATAAACAAAATGTCATATACCATATATCATACATTTATTTCACTGTCAGAAACTTTACAGAATGGTTTGAATGGAATAACACAACATGTTGTGGTAGAAATGTTTTATCGCATACACATATAGCTACACTGCTATCAATATATATTTTGTTAGAATTACACGCTATAGCGAAGCTGTGATTGGCTGAAATTTCCCATTCTTTCTGTTGTGACGACATAACTTCATGACATCATAAGAATTGTGAACATGAACGTTTTTCACGAATGTACATAATAAGTTTTATTTTTAGATTTTGCATCCTGTTTATGTATTTTTTGTATTTTAGGTTTTGGTTTTCTGTTTTTTTCTTTTCACAAAGTGAAAACAATCCGAAATGTCCATTTCTCAAATTTTCAAAATTTGTCAAGTGAAAACCTTGTGCTCACCTCTGTATTGTTCGTCTAATGAGACCTCCATGCGTAGTTCGTCACTAAGAATGACCGTCCCCTGACTGACGTCATTAGAACGGTTAGAAATGATCCTCATCCGGGCAGTTGGTTTCGTCGTCTTGTTTATTCCATGGCTTAATTCTCCACTAATAAAAATACATTATTCTATAGTACATCAGATCTAAACAGACTGTCTCCTAGAATCAGAAGGACGATATATCCCCATCATTTTGCTATTTTGTATTTCATTCTTAATTTGATTTCATAGTCGCTTCAGTTTATGAGATACTTGATCACTTACATCACCAAAATCACTCAAATGCATCTTTGACCTTTCATTGATGCTAGGGGCTAAAATTGAGAAATCCAGCTTACAGCACCGGAGTCACGTTAATCAAAATCGGCCTGAACAAGAGTGAGACACGAACGTGTGCAAAACCTTCTAACAAATCTTATTAACGTTTATTCTGATACACTATGTTGAATAGAAGGTTTTTAATCCTTTGCCAAAGACTCAAAACTATCAACTAAATACTTAAATTTTGAAAAGAAAAAAAACATATAATATTTTGTTTTATTTATCAGTACTTACTGGGGCATGATGATGTTTCCTACCACGATGTCACCCATATCAACAACACACATGACAGGAATTACTTTGTCACTTCCGGTTTGTATATCGGATCTCTCTTGCACAATTACTCGGAACATCTTGTCCTTTTCGTCCAGAGAAATGCAAGAGAATATTTTAAAAATATGACGCAAACGTTAAATTAAAGTATATACATAAGAAAGGAAAAATTATGTCATGAGTTTTCAAGGCTATTAATATCGGTGTCAACACTTTCAACTGATGAAATCTATTTTTCACGGAAATTTTGAATTAAAAATGGGGAAATGTTTTAATTTTTTTGTTTTTTAGCCAAAGGACTACTTCTGTTCAACATTTAATTAGATATGTTAGAAAATAACTAGCCGATATATGAAATACATAATGTTAATTTTACTTGATTCGACAGTATATCTTTTTGCTCTTCCTTGATCGTATACTTCCGGTGTTAGAACAATGCTTAAATAATACTTACGAGAGTAATATTACAGAGGTCAAAGTTGAATATGTAGTCACTTGACTGGGCGGAAGTGTCTTGTTTACATTCCACGCCTCTTCCCTGTATGTAAATAATTCCTAAATCACTCGCGGACTGCGTGTTTATGACGACATTCGTACTGCTGCATGACGTCACAGTCACTGAAAACATGAGATGAACATTGAAAGTAAACTGGCAGTTATAAAAGTTACTATACCGGAAGCCTTGAATATAATTCGGTCTTTTACCCTTTTAAGTGGACGAGAAAAGATAGCTAAATAATCGTAGCTTGGAAATTGTATGATGTAATGGGAGAGGATGGATGTGAAATGAGGAAGAGAGGATGGGATGTGAGATGAGGAAGAGAGGATGGGATGTGAGCTGAGGAAGAGCAGGGTCCTCAATAGAATCAGATCTGTTATTATAATAGACAGATTACACAATATCTAAACTACTGTATCTCACCATTAGGATTAAACTGCGCATGAACACTACACAGTGACGTCACGAGTAGACAGGCCAACAGGAAGTAGGTGCGGCCCATCCTCATCACCCAACAAATCTGTAACAGAATATAGATATTTATTACAGATAATGATGTGGACGTCTTAATACTGCCAAGTTACGCTTTATATATGGATGAAATAATTTATGTCTGCTCTTGTTCTCAAGGATACTATTTGAATAAGTCCAACCTCGTTATCTCGAACTCTGAAGGACCATGGGGGAAACCTCGAGATAACCGAGTATTCGATATAAGTGAGTTCGATTGTTTGGTGTAATGTTAAGCAAGGACCGTCGAAATGTTTCGAATCATGCGGTCTACCGGGTTATACGAGGTCGAGATAATGAGGTTCGACTGTATGTGCAAGAAGGAAAACTTAGTCACAAATTCCTTAATCTACTAGAGTTTACAATTCTCTGCAAAAGGGAAGCCGTTAACAGGTATATAGCACAAATTAACCGTGCCAAAAGACATACGCACAAATAAATTACTCAGCCAGAAAACATAGTTCCATATTTGTAATGACAGGCCATTTTTTGAGAAATGGAATTGCTAGATACCTTTAAACAAAGCTATTTACTTATTTATATAGTAAAATTGCTAAAACATCTTAATCTGAAGATTTTGATTTTTCATATGTAAATCTAGCAAACTATTGCGCGTTGTATTACGCCAAAGACAGGATACAACAAAGCCATGTGACGTATGTATTCCGACCGTAGCTGTAGGAGGCGTATATATTGTGAGCCAATACGACTCTGCTCATGCATTAAATACTAACAAAAGACGATTTGATCTCTCATCATGCTTTGGTCTTTGAAAGAAATGTTCATTATTTACATTATATAGCTATAGAAATATACACACATACCGTCAATTGTTAAACACTTTCGGTCTTATTACTGAAGATTTTAACTATATCATTATGTATAAAAAGCGTATTTCTCCGGGGTTAAAAACACCTACCTTCATCACATGTGAACTTGCGTCTCAATTCGATGCCGTCCTCCTGCCTTCTGGTACAGGTAAACACTTGCCCGTAACTTACCTGTAATTACTAATACTAAGTCCACGTGAGCGTGAAATCAATGTTTCTGATTGGACAATGATGTTTGTGTTGACATCGGATATAGGTCATCATCATAAATTTATGTAAGTATAGATTTACTTATATATTTAATAAATAACTCTATCCGCATTACCATAGCGATATTTGTACTTATTAAATTAGAATGATTAAGTAGGTTCTGACGTCATGTAATTAGGTCACGAATATACGGACTGGTCAGCGTACACAGCCAGATGACCATTTTGTAATCTTAATAATAATTATGATTTAATTTTGATATGGCAATAAACATATTCAAAGATAATTTACATCATATGAGCTAACAGGGACGAATACTGAAACATTGTCCTCCACTCGTTATGGCTATGCAAATTGTAGCCAGTATTTGAGGATTTAGGTTAAACTATAATGTTGCGGTTTTGGGGGAGGGGTGTAATTAGATGTACAGTTGAACTCGGTTTAATTGAATAGCTGGGTTTCATCTAATTGAGAATTTTGAAATTTCGTAAAAGAAAACCTCGAAAGTTTAACAACGGTTTTGACGAGGGCCTTGTTTAAAACGGACTTATTTTGCGAAATTCAAACCTACTGTGTGATACGATGACATTACGCAGCAATATATGCCACAGTTGTCGTTCCTGAACTGTCACATTTATTTTGGTAACGCAATGCACTGTGGGATAGATCGGCTACGGCGGATTACTTCAGTATTAACGTTATATCACTACGCGCGCGAGGGAAACTATCATCATCAGTGGATAATGAATTACAAAGTCTCTACACTCATTTACAACTCTAACTGTAAATATGATTAAAACATTTTTGCACTTTTTAAACAGATCAGGTTTGTTTATTGATATTAAAGAAGACGGCTAGACTTTCATGGTGTAGATAAAATGTGTTAGATGCTAAATGTGACGTAGAAATGTAGGTATTTAGATATATATTAAAGGAAGTTAACTTAAAGAAGAAAATATTTGCGGTTTGTTTGGTTTATTGTCCTATGAACATCCAGGGCGTACTGATCAGTTTAAGACCTATTGGGTTTAGAATGCTTTGTAAAATTTGGTGACAAATTCCCTGAACAAAATATAGGAGGTCCGGCGCAAGTTATCCAGAGCATTCAGGGAAAAGCGTCTTTATTAAGAATAAACCACGTCAACACAGAACGGTTTTTTCCTCAAAGTCCTTACAATCACAAACCACTAAAGTATAGGAGCGTAGACCTGGACAGCTCGAATCCTTAAAGATAACAGACTGAGCTACCGCGGTTATAAGCAAACTAGTAATCAACCATTAGAACTATTTTGTCGTCCTTAGATATCAAAATTTTGAAGTTGATATCATTTAGCGATGGTTTGCCTGATTATTGATAGTGTAAATGTGTATTCATAATGAAAATCAGTTAAATTTCGTGTGGGATTTATTTTCGCGTGAATACGTGAGGAGAGCTAGTCGCGAATTAAAATTCCTCACGATTATACGATCGGAAACTACTTACCGGCATCGTAGACGAAAAAATTAGGTCTGTAATGGCTCCTCCATCGCGAATTGAATGGCACTTCTAGATCAACGTTCGCAAAATTATATTTCTAAAATGTAGGTCCGCGAAATAAAATATTAGCGAAAACTAAGTTATTTAGGGTATACAATGTTCACAAGTACCAATATTTAAACCAAAATAACTCTAATTTCAGAAGAGTGGTCTGAATTTTATGTTGAATATGATGTGGCTGTTTGGATATCTAGATACAACAGACGAGATGACGAAATAAAACATACTTACAAGGCTGTATAATATGACCATAAAATTGTTTTGATTCAATCATCGTCATTCTTGATAATTTGGTTAAAGAACGGAAGGTGAAGGTCACGACCCAGCTGTACACCGTGTTGATAATTAATTATTTACATCATCATAATGTGATTAATTCAATTACAGATGAACTTGACCAGATAGACACTATACCTTTAGCTAAGGGATGACTTTGGGCAATACGCTCCTGTCGGATTTAGAACAGCTACAACTGTGTTACCGTTATGTTTACCTCTGTCATCGAGAAAAGTACAGGAACAAAACCCTGGCAGCGTCAAAACATGTCTTCACAATTTATTTTAACAGTTAGTAGACGAAAAATATTTTGATAAATTTAATTAAAAATGTTTAAATATTTCTGCATTGTTTATTCTGACTTAGCGAAGCACTCTTTTTTCTCTAAATTTTGTCTGGTTGTGTTATATTTATGTTCGTGGAACATTTTTTTAAGATTTGTTTTGGTGTTCCAGAAAAAGCAAACTCGTGTTCATCCTGTCACATAAATATACCCGAAGTGATTCTTAATTAAATGATTTACACACAAATTTTAGGCTGAAATATTCGATAATTGTGGTTCTAGTAAATTGAAAGTTTAAACTAGTCGATAAATGTTTCGTTTGATTTATAATACTCCGCGTACTATTTACATTGATATCGGACGGCTTTCCGATATATGCAAGCTGAGAGTAAATATTAGTACGTGTGGCTTTCGGGGTGCTCCAATATCTTCGCGCACGCCTCCATGCAATAGAGTGGAGCTGTATAGAAAGGGATTTTATATTGCTACCTCAGTGATGTCTATCGCCCCAGTCATATTGCATATGTACCAGTCATAGTAACACCGCAATGTTAGACGATAAGGAGGGAGTATCAACGACTGCATCAAAGACTTTGATTTGTCTCGGCCAGAAAAAAAAAATACTGAGGACAAGAATATTGTTCACTTTTTTAAAGAAAAGATAAAATCAATAAGTTTTTCAATTACCCTGAACAATTTGACACATATCTATATAAAATAAATTTTATGTTCTAACAAGTTTAGTTTAAACTTCATTGAGACGTAATATGCTGCGGAATGGAGATAGAAAATGATCTGATATGATAAACAATACATAAGTAATCATACTATAGGGTTTCACAACGATTTACATATCCAATGGGAACCATGAAATGAGTTCAACGGGCCCGAGAGGAGAAATCGAAGAAATTATTTTAAATTCTACTCCTCAAGTAGGAATGACTACATTTTGCTCAAATTTGGTCTGAAGCATTCTTGGGTGAAGGAAATCAAATTTGTATTAATGGTCGGTCTCTTCCCCCTGGGTGGAAGCGACGGGAACAAAGAGTGGAAATAGAACTAATTCTTAAAAATTCTACCTCTCCTGTAGAAATGATTAGAGTTAGCTTAAATTTAGTTTGAAGCATTCTTAACGAATGTGGAATAGGTCTACGAATTACACATTTCCATGTTTACTATATTCACAGGTGTCATGCGCAGTATAGTCATTATTTGGGTTATATTTATGGAGAAGACATAATAAGTTTCTAGAATTTGTCTCTGATTCATTAATCTGTTTCTGATAATAAAACATTTTTAGTCACGGGGAATCGGTTTTGTATAAAAGAGGTCATGGCCCCGAAGGGTCAAAAAGTTGAAAAAAAAACAAATTCTTGAAAATCCTTCCTCTTCTTTAGGATAAGTAGGATTCTGCCTCAATTTGGTCTGAAACATATATAGTTAAGCTGACTCCCTAGAAACAGACGGTTCGGTCCCAACGGAAATATATATATACTGTGTATTTAGTACTTGAATATTCAGAATTTCTTTTCCTTTATTTTGGAGAAAGCAATTTTAGCCATGCAGGCTCCATGGGCCTCTGTTTAAATAATTCTCTTCTGTTACTGTGATTTTAAGTGATTCAGATATCTTCAGAAAATAATATTGCTGTATATCGATGTTATCCTTTGCATACCAATCTGACGTCACAACGATACGTCACAACGATTGTGTCCATACGTGTTGGTTATGTTTCAAGGGGCTCTTGTCCCAATTATGACATTTCCGTACCATGTAATTGAAATCGACACTTTTAAAGTTGAAATACGATAAAATCAATTTACAGTCGAACCGCGGTACCTCGAATTCGTATAATTCGAAAACACAAAAACTCGCTTAACTCGAATACTCAGTTATCTTTAACTTTTCCGCCTCATTCGAGATAATGAGGTTCAGCATTTTTAGAATAAGGTGTTAATACTGTTATTTTCTAGCAGCCATGATTCTTTTTTATATAAAAAAAAATGTCCAAAAGACTTATATATATTACTGACTATATGGGCATGACTGATGCTCTGTTCTGTCCCATATTTTCTTTTAGACTGTATGGTAATACTTTGTCATAGGCAACATTTAAAATAATAAAAAAGCCAGTTATTCCTGAGAACTAGAAGTAAAATATAACAATTTCAATATGTTTACATTAAATTAAATTTATTATTGCGATGCTGTGCTTGTACAATATGATAAACAATGTGAACATGTACATCCGGATTTCAGAAATAAACTTGAAATTCATGAATTTACAATTTTTGAAGGACTTATCAAGACAAGTTAGGATTACGTTTCATGCTGTTTTAAAAAATTCACACATAAATATATGTTCTGATGGAACTCGTCAGGCTTAATTTCAATATAAAAACCCAACTTACGATATTTTTTCATTTGTACTCTGTATATAGATTTAGCTACAGTGAACGATTCGGAAATGATCCTGTAGGCATCATAATACGTTTGCGCCTGCGCAATGCACTGTAAACCGACGTGGCGACCTAATTGATTTAGTCTTTATGATAAAGCATTAAATAAGCGATTTTTTCATTCACATCAGTATCTATTTGTTATATATAAATATAAGTTATTTTTCTATGTCGTTTTTTAATATTGCCTTCATGTGTTTCATTTACTTTATTAAGTTGGTCTAATTTTGATATTACAGCGAGCTGCCATTACAATGGACTTTGAACAGTCACCAGAATGTTTTAAAGACACAGAACAGCCAGTGATTTGCCATTCTTTTAAAACATTCCTTTAAAAATCACAAAATCTGCAGCAACATATCAAACAGGAATAAACTGTCCGCTAAATCTTCTAGTAGTTGTTCCGAAGCGAGAGTTAGGAACTGGGATAGAAACGGAAGTGGCGCTGGGTGTGACTTCCGGTATAGATTCTTCCTTTTTACTTTGTTTTGGCTGTTTTCTCTTCCGGTATTTATTGATCACTGACGTCATGACCACTACACATGCAAAAACGATAAACGACCCGAGAGTTCCGAACATCAACAAGAGGATGACAGGTATACAGATCTGATCGTCTTCATTGCCTAAAACAGGAAAGAAAAATTCTATTTATCATCGTGACTTCTGTGTCCTTGTGAGCTGTTAGGCAATACGAACTGTATGACAATTCGGGTAAGAAAATCCATATGTCCATACTATATCCCTCTTAAATCGAATTTAAGTTAAAATTTCTTTTTTTTTTAAATTTTAATTGATTTTTTACTTAGGTTTATTTTATTAGTTTTTTAAGGGGATTGTTTCTTGTTTCTTTGATTTTTTTCCGAAAGTCCAGGTTCGTAAAGAATCGCGGTAAGCGTTCATTATGGCATCAATGGCATCGAGGTCAATTAATCCAGATAATTCAGATAAAGCGAAAATAGTTGCAATAGTTTAATATGCTGAAGACGGATCTATATAATTTGTTAGTATGTTTTTTTAAATAAGAAGCGTACTAATATGTTTTCCCGAAGTCTCAATATTTTCGTCTAAACTTTAGTTTTACTGATAATATTTTACCTGTTGCAAAACTTTCAAACGTTTCTCCAACACTGATTGAGGCTCCAACATTTACATTTTGAAAGGCAACATCTTCATCAGCCATGCGCTTATTTCGTCTACCTCCAAAATGTCCATCGATGTCATCAACACTCTCCTTGTTTATTCTTTTGTTTTTATCAGCTAAGCGCTTTCTTCTCCCGTATCCAACCTCGCCATTTGCACAATTCGTCTGTAAATAATGTTAATTAGCTCTGTTGTGTTTCTTTTACATCAGAAATGTGAACCTAGTAATATGTATACTGTAAGTTGTGTACAACATGCCAGCGGTAAAAACTCGACTGTTTTGAGGTTATTCCGTGTCGCTAATTGTGTCCTTATTCATGTTCTCAAATACTTAATACCTTTGAGATTACATCAACATTGTGGAATTACGAAATTCAGTCACAAGTTGTTAATCGACTTAAAATATTTATTTGTAGAATGCTTTTACAATAATTCAATTACAACAATGCAATAACAGATTTTGACTAAATATGACGTTATTTCTCTTTCTGTTGTTTCAATCAATTTTATAGACTTTTTTTCTTTTTTCGTTTTTTCTTTGTTTTTTTGTTTTGTTTTTTTATTCGTAATTTCCTTTTCACGTATATTTTTTTCACTTTATTTTCTCCTCGAGCCTTTTTCATCTAAAATCGATTTTTAATTGAAATACACATTCAATAATAAACACTTCGCGAAATTAAAAAAAATTTATGTGGATAATTACGGATCTTTGACCGCTTATTACATGACAAATACTGTACCTGTGAGCATGCGCCGAAACAAAGCTGGAGTGTACAAGAGAATGTCATGTCAACGATTCCACCGTTTAGAGCCGTCGTCCTAAAAGCTCCAAAAGAAGTTGCTATAATGCCCTGGACAGGCTGGACGAAATTTGGAAACAGACCGACATCAGTTGAACAGCTACGACATTAAACAAATAATAACAATTCAAACAAATTTATCGACAAATTTAACTAAATATCCCCGAACATAAAATATTTCAAGACAATTTGTCCTTTTTCCCACGGCCGTTTTTTTATCAGTGGTTGATGTGATATGCTATCCGTGATATGCTATTCTTTATTCAGCCTGTATACACTGTATCTATTCCATAACGTTGTAAGATAGATGCAATGTCCGCAACCTTAGCTGTTTCATGTGCCTGTACTATTTTAGGCGAATTATAATCCTGTTGTTAAACAGTCTTCATGGAAAATCCAGTTATCATTACCATATCGTAATTTTCACGAAAAGTTAAATTTTATTCCAACATTTTATAATCTTATCTCTGTATTTCATATCATCACGATTATCAATATTATCATATTATCAATGATATGACAAATTGAATCACGTTAACCCTTTCACAAAAACTGCCGCGTCATAAATATCATCACGTCATTGATTTAGGTGTTGTTATAAACGTGCACTTTGTAGTCATACATCTAAAAAAAAATTCCATGCCTATCCCTTCATTTCCCCTGTTCAATCCTACTTCCTATATCAATACACAAATACAAACTGTATCAGTACAGTGTATTAAATAGTGAGACATTACTTACAAGTCCTGTATGAGTTCTATCGTGTTCGCCGTACAGTATCTGGCCTTCAAGTCGAAGTCGGCTAAAAGTATATATATATATAAACACTCAGCAGACTTATTCTGAATTTTACACAAATCACAGTTTTCAACTTTCGCAAAAATTATAGAAATAAAGAAAAATGTATATCTTGTTAAACTGCATGCGATTAATATACGATTAGATCAGAACATGTTATTGGCTACAAGTCCTCACAACAGCTAACGCGATATGACGGCGGTGTATGTGAATGATGGTTCAATGTGGAATAATGTTCATTTTAACAAAAGGAACATGCTCTCTGTTTCGAAACAACAAAGTAAACACCGGCACCCCAAAATTATCTTTATTCGAACAAAAATCCGGTGGCACGAGGACAAAGTGTGAAAATCACAATGATAAAGAAAGAAAGAAAGAAAGAAAGGAAGGAAGGAAGGAAGGAAGGAAGGAAGAAAGAAAGAAAGAAAGAAAGAAAGAAAGAAAGAAAGAAAGGAAGGAAACATAGATATCTCGTTTAAAAATATACAAGGCTAATAAGAAAAGTGTATCGGGAGGGAAAGCGTCTTTTTCTTTATAGCGAATATACAAAGCTTTCATATCGTCACCTAATCCATATCATTACTAAATCCTATCTAGGTTTTATTGATAGAATGAAGAACTGCACTGATTTGAAATCGTTTCAATAAGTTGATAATCTATCAAAATAGAAATTCTAACCTATAAACTCTGACCCTAGTTGAATAGACATGGTCAGTGTATCTGTGAGGCGGACTTGACCAGCGGTCACCTCCTGTCCGTTCGAGTAGATGGTCATTGTAGCCGTTGGCCTTAACGTTATGTTGACTCCTACCTCATCAACACCTTCCCTGTCGGATAGATATAGGGACAACATGTGTGTGAGAGTGATCTCCCCTTAATGGTAACCTATCAAAATAAGCATACAAATCCGGCTAATATACCAATTAACATTAATTACCCGATTGACGTCACAATGAAGCCAGTAAACTATCAATTTCAATTCTATTTGGTATGCAATTACTTTTCCTCCTCAACATTTTTATTCGTTTAATCACATACACGATATTTAAAAGGCTTTAAAAAATGAAATATAGGAAAGCGAATGGTAATGAATTAAAATCTAATACTTTTAAAATGTTTGGTTTTCCTATACTAAATGCTTAAAAGATGCAGTGATTGGCAAATTATACACTGTCTTGAAATTTGTCTTTGCGACTAAATCTAAATTTTGTGCTCAGAGGGAAATGTAGCGAAAATCATAATCTTCTAAAAAATCGAGCAGTTCTCTAATAGGGTAAACCACGAAATTTTACCTCCACTAAAATTAAGGATTCTCAAATACTTCATTCAGATTTCAAACCTACAGGTTAAGTTCATTTCCGCTCAGCTCAATAGACAGCTCATATAGACAGCGAACAGGAAACACAAGGTCATATCCGGTTTGATAGTGAGGCTTCTTTTGAACGATGATCGAGAATGACTGATACTGGGAAAATTAAGATGCAACAGATTTTAGTCAGTCAACAGTAAGTAATTTCTTTGCTGCATGGTTTACGTGAACATTTGATACTGTTCATAGGTACAGTACAACGTTGACTTTATCAAACAAATAGAGCCTTGAAATCTATCAGACTGTGGTTTCACGTGACCGTGTAAAAATCAAAATACTGTATACGATGTTAATAATCTGACATCAAAATAACTTATTATGGGTAATCAATATACAATATTTATCTCAATAAGCAACTGTTCAGAATCAATAAAACATAAAAATATCTAAAAAGGAAATAATTAACTTCCATGCTCGATATTCTCTCCCGGTAATGATTATTTCAAATACAGGGGAAGATATTTGTTTTCTTGTTTATCTGACACAAATCCGTCTCATTAAACTATATTATAGTGATATGCGAAAGAAATTTATAATATTATCTTTTATCACTTCGTAACATACAAGTTTAGGTAGAACTTTTTCAGCCATCTTACCGGATCTACTCCGCATGCGCCGAACACGAATACAAACTCTGTTGTAACGTTGACAGTGTTCTGCTTGCAGCTAGTACTGTGACCCTGTATGTATATGATGCCACCATTTTCGGCGCCCTCTAGTGTCAAAGTCAACTCTGTTTCAGTACACATCTCGACATTAACTGGAAGAAAACCAGCAGATCGTTACGGATAATACGGTTATTGCATGTAAGAGAAGTTAAAATGCTCACAGCCTTTTGGACCGGCTATGAAGATACTAGTTATCTGCCCTTGATGGAGGCTGACTTCCAGACTAAATGACCAATCAAGCTGAGAGCTTCCAACTGCCAGACATGACAGCCTTTCATGTGATAAGACATATTTTAAATTTGACTGAGGAAGAAGCAGATAAAAACATTATAGTATCGAAAACAATGGAGATATGCCGTAAATAACCCAGATTATGCCGATTAACATAGATAATTACATTCAGGTGTAACTCAAAGACAAGATCATACTTATATGAATAATGATTTGATCTCGTTCAAACTATTATAGTTTATCCTAAACCGGAAATACAGAGAAAATGACCTTAATGATAGTTGAATTATCACCACAAACATATGTACATATGCTAGATTCTTGTCGCGTTTAGAAACGATTTACACTTGTAGGTATGACTTAAGAAATGATTGTTGTCCATAATATTTCTTTCTTTTTGTTTTCCTGTCGAAAAAAAAATACTTCCGTTCCTTTCCAATTGGATATTTGCCTGTGATAAATTATTTAATTGTTATCTGATCCCAATAACACATTTTTGTAATGAAATAACCCTGATAGGTTTGTTAAGATCGGCGCTTCGCATGAACTCAACAGCTACGTCCGTTTGATGCCTTTGTTATAAGGTTGATATGTTTGTAGCTGATATGAAACAATACACGGAAACACGATCTGTTCTATATTGTAACAGACCAGATAACTGTTAAACCAACCCACGCGAGTCTGACGTGACAGCTGATGACTTTAATTTTGATTGACAGCTTATTAGAAGTAAGATCTCTGTCGTATGTATATTTCACCTTTAGAGAAGTATTCAATCATGTTTCATTTTATCAATGGACGGTATTGTGCATATGAACAGTATTAATCAGGTAATCACACTTTAGGATGAAGACGCAATTAAGTCGTTATTAAATTTGATTTAAATGGGAACTAATTTATAAACTTATCAATTACATTTCAGTATAAAAATATACATTTAAGAATTTACTATATACTTAGATGAATTGATTATAACATTAAAGTTGGCTGCTTCATTGCCCGGGAAATGTCAACTAAGAAAGAAAAATACTATGTGAAATCGCGGCTGTTCTGTCAGACGTTTCCCTCCTGATTCGGAGAAGTGACATACGTCGTGTGTATTACATTTTTTTTCTCTGACGTAGTCGTAACTAGAAATATTTTATTAACTTTACGGTTTTACTAAAAGAGAGACAAATAACCCGGCAAAATGATAATAACATACTTTGCAGCTAAAACATCATAGAAAATCATTATCCGCGCTATGGGATCAGTTTTAAAATTTTTTTTTCTAATTTTTTAGTAAAACCACGGAAATTTCGACCACCCAATACGATAACCCCTACAGTATGTATGATATTTAGAAATGAAGCTGAAATATAATAGTTACAAATAGACACAATGTTGAGGAGAAAAAAAAATCTTTTTTTCAAATTTTAATTTTCAACTGTTTCCGGACAGTCACATCTAAAACAACTGTTGTTTATTACATATATCTTGTTCTCATTGCACTTAATCATTAGGGAAAATATATTTCTCTTTAAACCTTGAAACATCTCGAGTAAATTTGATATTTGCCCTGTAGACAGCGAAAATAGGTTTAACAAAGGGAACAGAACATTGAATTGTTTTAAACTTGCAAGGTTACACTTCAGAAAAGTAAAGTTTTACAGCTGAAATATCATAAAATGTTAAACAATATAAAAATCCTTTCTTCTTACCTGACGGATTGAACGCCGACACCAGGACGATGGTAACGAGGAGGAAGTTGATGCTTCCAAATATCCACCGCATGTTGGGTTAATATTGGCGGACTCCACAGAATCACAAGAACATATTGTCATATGCACTTCGAGAAAACATTAAACTGCTTCATTTTGCCATATCCATTCCTTTATCGATGGATAACTACACACGTCCTTGATGTTTATTTAAATTGGAGATTGAAAATATTGTTAGAATATCATTTTTATTTTTGTGATGTATTTTCATTTTTATAGGCATTATCGTACAATATCAAGGACATTATAACCTCATGTTTTTATACAATATGACTTTGGCAGTGCTAGAGTGTTTAAATAGCATCAAACAAATTATCTATAAAACACATCCGTAAGGAGGTTACAGAACCATATGTCGTCCAAGCAGACAACAATATATCCACTTAGTGACTGAAGAACTGACCGGTCAATGTTATCTAGAAAACAAAAACAATATACATGTATATACATCAATATTGGAATGGATACTTTTTACTTATCGATAATATATATGCATTTAAAGACAAACATAAACAAACTAATATATTTGATTTGATTTAAAGTGTGTCATATTTATATTTCGAAGCCTCTCAGGTATAACTTTTCTCTTATTAAATTTTTCATAAATCAGTCGGATGCGATCATATCCATATATAACTGTACCAATCTGTCAGGTTTCAATATGTATCTAACGTTAATAGCCTCATCATCAACATGTAAAGTTTTAATTATGAAAATTGATAAATAACCAGTTCTTATTTATAACATACAAAATGTTAACATGAAAATGCGAAATTACTAGCATATTTGCTTTCATTAAGAAAACAACACAATTAAAAATACAACGATTATTTACCCTTTACAGGTAAAAAGGGACATCTTCATATATTTCATGTAAGCTGAGTAAGCTTTGATTTTCCCGTTTGCTTTTAAAGATTATGGCGAAAGTCTTTAAGTATTGTTAGTTCAGTTATGCATCAACTGTTTAAAGAATGATACATCCGGGCCAACACGAATGATTAATATAAGCTTCAGGCTTGTTTCACAGCTGTTGTAAAATGTTTTTAAATAGAAAATGATAATATTGTTATACAGCAATTATTTTAGCCTTTGAAAAATAATTAAAATTTTAAAATATATACTTACAAAAATTGTCGAATGTAAGTAAGTCTATTTGAGCTTTTTATTTACCGTCCTGTAAGGCTGGAATGGTTTACACAGATTAAGCTGTATGTGACCTTGGTTATTGTGTACCATGTCAGGAATAATTGATATGATTTGATTAATACGTCGGTATTACGGCATTGTCTCACGCTACGTCAAATAAGATAGTAAATCTGCTTGATGTGTCCCAGATTCATAATCTTGTTATTTGTGATTAATTGTGTTTACTACAGTGATCTCCATACGCAGGTAAAGTGGTCAGTGGGTCAACATTTAGAAAACAGGAGACAACAACATTACGTCTTAGATACTGGATAATGTCAACGTTCAGTGAAGGATGACTCTTGACCTATAAACAACATCTACTGACAGTACTGTATGTATATACGTATATATGTGTGTGTATGGTGTGGCGGTGTGTGTGTGTTTGTTGTGTGTGTTTGTGTGTGTGTGTGTGTTTGTTGTGTGTGTTTGTTGTGTGTGTGTTGTGTGTGTGTGTGTTTGAGTGTGTGTTGTGTGTTTGTGTGTGTTGTGTGTGTGTGTGTGTGTGTGTGTGTGTGTTTGTGTGTGTGTCTGTGTGTGTGTGTGTGTGTGTGTGTGTGTGTGTGTGTGTGTGTGTGTGTGTGTTGTAGTCGTCAGTGTGTGTGTATGAAGGTCTGTGTGCAGTGGTATGTGTGTGTGTGTGTGTGTGTGTGTGTGTGTTGTAGTCGTTAGTGTGTGTGTATGAAGGTCTGTGTGCAGTGGTATGTGTGTGTGTGTGTGTATTTGTTGTGTGTGTTTGTGTGTGTGTTTGTTGTGTGTGTTTGTGTGTGTGTTGTGTGTGTGTGTGTTTGTGTGTGTGTGTGTGTGTGTGTGTGTGTGTGTGTGTGTGTGTTTGTGTGTGTGTGTGTGTGTGTGTGAGTGTGTTGTAGTCGTCAGTGTGTGTGTATGAAGGTCTGTGTGCAGTGGTGTGTGTGAGTGTGTTGTAGTCGTCAGTGTGTGTGTATGAAGGTCTGTGTGCAGTGGTATGTGTGTGTGTGTGTGTTGTAGTCGTCAGTGTGTGTGTGTATGAAGGTCTGTGTGCAGTGGTATGTGTGTGTGTGTAAGTGTGTTGTGTGTTGTGTGTTTGTGTGTGTGTGTGTGTGTTAGTGTGTTGTAGTCGTTAGTGTGTGTGTATGAAGGTCTGTGTGCAGTGGTATGTGTGTGTGTGTGTGAGTGTGTTGTAGTCGTTAGTGTGTGTGTATGAAGGTCTGTGTGCAGTGGTATGTGTGTGTGTCTTTGATATTCTGTATGATCTACCAATCACGAATACATTTACTATACAGTTAACACTTTCTGGAGAAACTGAAAGCAACACATTGTGCCGCCCTGACAATTAAGAAAATATTAGGACATATAAGAAAGCCTGTCCTCAAATGGCCTACTTCCTATAGGTATTTGTTCCTTTCAAAACTCACAAAAATATCTTTAAATATTACTTCTGCTTTGTAATGCAATATATGTTACTTCCAAGGATTAAATGTTTGATTCACAAAGAAATATGAAAGAAATATAAGTGAAATGAAAAAAATAAGTTAATTTAAATTCCTTCATAAATAATATGAAAAAAGTTCCACTTTACCTTATGTAACGTTGTATTAAACGTGTTTTTTACTTGTCTGTCTTTTCTTACATTTTACATTGTTTATTTGTATTAACGAAATAACTGTATCATGCTACTGTATTGATTATTGCAGCTTACTTTGTCTAATTATACCTGTGTACTGAAAGCTGTTTAATGCAGTTCGTATTATTGTTTGGCTCTACTCTTTCTTATATTAAGTTTGTTTTGAAAGATTTTATTCTCTTAATGCAGTTACACTTCAAAATGTAGGCCCTTAGCATCACTGACGAGTCCCAGTGGGACGAAACAGCTGTATGATGTAGCATCACTGACGAGTCCTCGAAGGACGAAACAGCTGAATGATGTAGCATCACTGACGAGTCCTCGATGGACGAAACAGCTGTATGATGTAGCATCACTGACGAGTCCTAGAAGGACGAAACAGCTGTATGATGTAGCATCACTGACGAGTCCTCGAAGGACGAAATAGTTGTATGATGAAGCATCACTGCCGAGTCCTCGAAGGACGAAACAGCTGTTTGATGTAGCATCACTGACGAGTCCTTGAAGGACGAAACAGCTGTATGATGTAGCATCACTGACGAGTCCTAGAAGGACGAAACAGCTGTATGATGTAGCATCACTGACGAGTCCTTGAAGGACGAAACAGTATTGTGATGTAGTTTGAATCTTTATTTGGCGCTACTGTACATAACTTTATATGTAATTAAAGATGCTGTCACGTTTGTGTCTTTCGTACAATCTTTTAGCAGCTGTTTGATGTGCAGTTCAAGTCATAATTTTGCTTTACACTTAAACTCTACACTGCAAAGTGCTACCACGAGTGACAGTGCCTTTAGTAAAATCGTTTTATCCTCTGCGTGATAATGATCAAATGATTTGTAATCATTTCTAATAAGGACGACAGAGTCTGTAATGATATCTTGCCATCATGACAGTTTGACCTTTACATCACTTTAATCATCACCTGTCAGATGAGTTCATGACTAACAACTAACAGAGACTGATGACTTAATTATGTGACCAACATGCAATACCAGTGTCCCTACACTTTATATCACATATTTATTAAAATCATTCATATACATGTAGACCTGTTTCAATTTTCGTCGGTTTCCGTGTAGAGAGGTTGTCAGGAGATTATTGGTGCAAATCATCATGGCGAATACTGCGATATTGCAGGCACTGGCTTTCATTGTTTTATGTAAGTATGTAAATCAACATATACAAACTTATTATTAAATTTCTTTTTATACGATTCAGGACCACCGTCGTCATAACTAACTCCTGCGATTTTGTTATGGAAATGGTTGATGTTCTACGGATATACCGACTGATTCTTTTATTTTTCACCATGCTCTCGTTTGGAAGGAGACATTACTTATACGATTTAAGTTATACGGTGGGTATCGTGGATGAATCATAATACGCTTACTCCTCCGAAACACCTGGATTTATTTTCATTGAACATTTTCAGGACTCTAAATATAAATCTATTGTTTTGTTGATTCAGTATTTTGCCCTAGTTTTTTTTTAAATTTGATTTTTGATGAAGATTATGTTTGCATTTCAATAACTTCTTTTGTTGTTTTCGTAACAAAATATGCCATTTTTTTCGTTTATGTTTATGGTATTAGAAATATGAAGCCGGTCATGATGTTACAAAAATTAGATGTCGTAATCTTTCATGGTAAATACATAAAAAACAAACGCAACGAGTGCTTTATATAATTTTATATGTTGCAATTCAATATGGCTATAGACGATTCACAAAAATGACAAATAATATCTGTCATATACTTTTAAAACCTGGGTCGCTGGGACTTTTTACAGTAGAATAGAATGAGAACCTCAGAACCGTTAATTACTTAAAACGATTTTTTTTTCATTAATTATTCTGGCTAGACTTTCATACCAAACATATGATTAATGGTATTCATAGCATGCGATTTAAACATGCATCTCAATGTCAGCTGCTTCCTCGCATTCATATTGCCTCATTGACCTATATTGACTGAGGATTAAAACACGATAGCTTTGGTAGGTCTCACATAAGTCTTATTTTTTAATTTGTATCATACATCATCTTCTTGACTCCTGGCGTATGCACGAATTATTAGGAACTATAATTAATGACTTAATACGAATAGGAAAGGAGAAGTTTCAAAGGGCTAACCTTAATGTTTCCAGAGTGTGTAATACTTTGTAAAAGAAGCAAGGTGGGCTAATGGTAGATTTTTCGACTAATGATCAATGGGTCGCTTGTT